ATTCGATGATATAAATGGTCACGTGATACTGATAAAGATTTTTTATATACCGGTAAATCCCGTGTCCTTTTTCTTTCCTAGTTGCCAGGTCATTTTATGTGGGCTTTATTTATACCAATGTCTTACACCATAATAATAAAAAGCCCCACGCATCCATCTTTGATTTTGCGACCAAATGTGCATCCCATATTAAAATCGCCCATTAGAAGTTAAAAAAGAAAGTAACTGCAGTTATTCCTGCAATCCAACACTCACCCCTTTTGAAAAAAAAAAAAGCATACGGCAGGTTATACAAGCCAATTTTGAAAAATTATTGCATTTTGCTTCAACAATGTTTCATAGGCTATTAGTTAAGGCCAGGGCATAGCGATCTCACTGAAAGTGACTATTTTATTGAATGAAATCTGCTGATACGATGACAAAAAAAAAAAAGAAATAAATTGGAATAAAGACTAAATGATCATGGCTGGGTATTTTATCGAGGTATAAATTCTACCTAAGGACTCACAATGTTAGGTTACTTCATAAGTGATTTAATAAAACACACATCGATAAGGATCCAGCCATGATCAGTTTATCCTAGAATGTAATCGAGAGATTATCTTCAAAATGAATACCTTTTGTCGTTGAGTGCAATATGTTAAAATAATGTACGGGTGTCAATATAAAACAGCAACAGATCACAGAAATTGTTACTTACAATTTGTATGAATCAGTTTGTATGAAAACTAGTTTTAAAAAATTACATTAATACCTGAAACAGAGAGAGACAGACAGACAGAGAGACAGAGAGAAATAAAGAAAGAAAGGAAGGAAGGAAAGAAAGAATTACAATACAATACAATATACCTTTTTATATATATATATATATATATATATATATATATATATATATATATATATATATATATATATATATATATATATATATATATATATAAGTCTAAAGAACATGAAATGTGATATCAGCGATTTGGGGATAAAAGTAACAACCCTAGAGATTGATGTAAGAGAGAAAAAAATTGCACCGCGGCATTTCTGAACATAACTGCGATCCCTACCACGGTACATAATAACCAACAATTTAAGTTTCTGTGGCCCGAGTTATGTCAGCTCAACAGAAAAACGCAGCCCCCCTCCACCTTACCCCCGAAAAAATTGATGGTCAGTACCTTATATTAGATAATTTTCATATGCGTATCTGAATTGCTGTGCACGCTGTAATCTAACGACGGTAACAATATGGGGATTTTAGATTACACTAATTGACGCCCAATGAAAGTCACTGTCAACATTTGCAAGTTGTTGATCAAAATAGGATTGCTGCTACTGAAACCAACAATTTACTATAAAAAAGTTGGTGAAATATTAAGTGGGATTCCAACAGTCAGTCAAAACATGTATCTAAGACGACCAGTAAGCATAACGCACACAAATTCAACAAACGAGAAAATATTTAGTGTTGACTTAAGAAATTTTGTAAATTCAAACAAAATATTTGCTCTTATGAAAATCTTTGCATTCATTCTTACAAAAGAATACATGTATTTAACACATTAACATTACAACAGCATATAACCAAATATTAAATTTTTTCCCTTTATTTTAAAACCGAAAAGTTTCAGATGGTGAACTGGACACAAATATAATCCCATTCCTCCACTACGTTGGCGTTCATGTGATTTAAATATTTAGAAATAATGTGTGACAAACAACTGCATTGTTTAACAAAAAACAACTGAATTGTCATAAAATATGAAAACAAGCTAATATTGTTAATTAATAACACGATTATTCGGGAATTTTCGTACATTCCCTACCGATGGAATATACCGAAGCACCGGTACAGTGAAAATATGCTGTGGGACTTACCACCGGAAAAATAAATGCTGCAGTAAAGCCGTATAAAGCTATTACCGTGCACCTCGAATCGCCACTGTGGTTATGTCTTTTTTTTTTCCACTGACATTTTACAATATCAGTCATGTAAGAAATTGGATTTTCAAAAATGTGAATCTGGTTCTTTATCCTTTTATGACGTCAAAATCTATTTGTGTCAATTCAATCACCACAGAAAGCGCTGATTTTACAATGGCAATTTTTCTTAAAGTTTTCTTTAACCTGCTTGGGTTTGATGAGCAACAACAAATTGTTATTTATCGGCTCGTTCAAAGTAACACAAAGAAAGAGTGAAGTTTTGTAAATTTTAACAGAAAGAATTTATTTTCCTAGAAAACATGAAAAAAATGTAAATATTTAAAACAAGATGTAAGATTTACGGAAATAATCTAAATTGTTTGTTCTAAAGATAAACAGAAGTCCTGTAAAAATTTCTAAACTGTCTTAAGTTCAGTTCCGGTCAAAATGGCGGATGATGACGTCATACGAAAGCTAACAGAAAAATCCAGAATTTACACAGTAAAGCCAGTTTGTATTGTTCCGTTCCAATTTTGAATATTTTCGGAAAATATCTTTGCCCAAATCAGTAATGTTGTTCTCCAGAAAAACAATTATTCAGAAAAACGAAGTAAAAAATTAGCTTCACTAACAAGACACGTTGTTCTACGTAGACATTCGAACAGACAACTTCTAACACAAAAATACCTTTTTACAAGTAATAGTGTAATTCCAAGCTGTTACAATAAACTCGACTTATGACTCTGCGACTGCCTGTCTTACAAAATACCTCTGCATAAAATCAAAGCTAATACGTTGTTTGAATTACACGCGCATGAAGGACATGCAATTTCGCAATATTTCTGAACATTAGGAAAGCCTGACCAAGTATCAGCCAATCGTTTTCATAGCTATTCCTGAATGTTTACTTGTAATGAATTTGCCATCATACACAGCACGTGCTCACATGAGTCACATTTACGACTCGAGTAAACACGTTGTAACAACATATTAGACTGATATTAATATAATCATATTAATAATTACATTTAAAGAAATAAAAAGATTTATACAAAATTCATTCCTTAACCACACACTTAAACTACGGGGTCGTAACAATATCGACAGCACAGCCATAACATAAAACAATAGGGACAGACCCATACTTTTTCTCCAGTTGTTCAAATGGGTAGTTAGCTTTGTTTAAAGTTGCAACCATTAACTATTCTGACTGTATTACGGGGTGCGACTGACCCACCCAGAGCTCCACCCCTCCAACCATGAACAACTTAGTATTATACAAGGACAGATGTGTTTGTTTCAGAACTGTTAAGCAATTAAGACTCGTTACTAGCCGTAACATATTATCTTTGAACTATCAGAGCTGGCAGTATAAACTTCTCCAAAATAAGTCACATATTTATTATTCTTCATCCATCGTTTTCAAATAGAGATTTTTTTAAGACTATGGAAATGTCAGTGAGAAATAGATTTAAAGATACCCACACTTCTATTTCATGAATCAGTATAGGTTCTTATAGCGATCCTGAATAAAGCCCAGGAATTAAGTCACTGTGCTCCAGCTTTAAAGCACGATAATTATACCCTGATCCAAAGTTCTACCCTCGTTACAAGTTAGGTGGCGATTAATGTAAAGGTACTGGAGTAAGACACACGAGTTGGGATTTAAACAATGTTAAATAAACCGTGGAAAATCGGGCATAGTGGCGAATTATGTATGGTGGAACCTCTTTCCCAAAATGCAGCTTACATCTGATGGCAATGAATAAACAACTGGAATGCTCCAACCTGCAGATTAATTTTCTGGCACTTAATACAGACACTATCCGCTTGCTGCGTGAAGAATACCTGCATTCAATACAGTTTTCTTGCATTTACCAATATAAAAGCAGTTCCTAATCGAATCATATACACCATTTTATGTATCATCATCATCATCATCATCATCATCATCATCATCATCATCATCATCATCATCATCATGTCCCGTAGCCTGGTAGTCCGTTGGGGTACCGCATGAGACCGGACAACCATCTTCCACCATTCCTCTCGATTTTCCGTTTTATGTATAGGGCACTGTTAAACCCCCAATGTCGCCCTTTTTTTACATATTTCACCATTCTTACAATTTAACTAAGTTTAGAAAGAGAGAAATGGTTTGTTATAATAAAAAAAAAACTACGACATAAATAGTTCTTTAAAATAAGCAAGATGTTGGGTTTATATGGCGTCCAAATATTCTTTTGAGAAATTAAGAGGTATTACCACTTAATTCAGTAAATTGAAGTTGCTTTTAATTCTTATCTTTTTTTCCCAGAGTGATCCAAAAGTAGTGATGCTAGACATTTGACAAATTCCGCTACTGCTTAATGTAAAAACAACATTCGTACGTGGCACAGAAAATGATTTCAGAGGGAATAAAGACATGCATTCCCACTTTTTTGTGCAGATCTGAGTAGAAAAAGCGTGCATTAGATACAAAAAGACTTGGGTGAATGTTCGCGATCAGCAGGGACGCTGAAGAGCAAACAGATGCTGAAGACAAATCCGACTTAGCGTGGTCTTAGCATCTTATGATGACAACGATGACATCATCAAATCTTGAAATGCAGCTTTTGACTGAAAACTGTTCACCCACGGATGTCTCCGATCAACATCGGATTAATTCGTAGCCATGAAAAAATGGTCGGATTTCTCAGTTCGAAGGCAAAATTACATGGCTCATAATCTGACGAAAGTAGATATTATCTGATTTTAATAGAACCCAAAAATGTTTAGGACCAATGTCTTTATGATTCATTATTATTCAGATGATTGGTCATACACGACTTGTTGCTTGTTACTTTCAATCATTTAAGCTGTTTTTAGTACATTAAAAACATAGATGGAAGTGAATATGAGTGTCTACGATTTAGATTTTTAACGCAGCTTTAACAGTTTTCAGTCATATTGCTACGATATCTGCAGTATGGCAGTTTATAGTGATATGTAACATGGGGGCATCATGCTGCAAACATTTAGTCACATTATCCAGACACCAGGCCGACCAGTCATAACACTAACCTCTTTATAAGTCTTTGTTATGACTCGGTCGGGGATTGAACCCGCGACCTCTCGCATCCAAAGTGGCCGCCCTAACCATTTAGGCCACCGGAGCAGTTTGGGAACAGTTATTTAAGCTGAAAGTTTAAGTCAAAATAGAATTTAACGATGGATACCCAGATCTTGTCAACAAATGTGATGGTCCTAAACAATTACTCTTAAAAGATAGAATTTTTATCTAGTCAAAAAAGTGAAAGCATCCGTTGTATATTTAAAAGAGCTACACAGTACTGTTGATGTTGAACATTACTGGGAGTCTGAATGGTGTCAGAAGAGTATACAAGTTTATTTTGTCGTACAAGTAGTGTGTACAAGTTTATTTAGTCGTACAAGTAACACTGGTGCTTGTGCTGCTATCGTATTTAGAAATATTTTTTTTTACCGAGACATGCGATTGTCTGGGAACTTGGAATTATCAGTTAATAGACGTACAATAAATCTAGTGAATTTATATCGTTATAAGATGATAATACTGACATAAGAAATCTGAAACAGGATAGTATGTAATTTTATAATACTGTTACCATTTATGGAAATTGGAATGTTTTCAGGCTATGGAGCTTAACTCTTACTTTACTTGCTAAGCACAATATGCCACCTTTTGTTCTCTATCTCTCTGACAAACAATTTTCTGTTTAGAGAGTTAAAGAGAGGTTGTCATCAAGGTGACTCTTTTGATCCCTGTTCATTGATAATGAAGAAATGTACTCTTTGCACAGGAAATAAACAAGAATACGAAGGAAAAATGAACCATCATCTGGTACGTGTATAATGAGATACACATAAAGGCCATCATATAACGTAATTTAGTCCTTGTACACGAGGGTGGGCGTCATGTATGCAATATGGCAAATACAGATAACTTATGTTCAATACAAATACTAAAAAGCAAAATAAATTTTGTAGCAAAAATTCATCAAGAACATTATTTTTTCTACTTAATACTTTAGTCTCATATGGCAAGATGGTATCTGCACAACTATTTTGGAGTTCTACCTAGTTGCATGTAAGAATGTTATTAAATGTTGAGTCGCTGATCATTTGATTCCTGTATGAGATGTCGTTATTTTGAAAACACTTAAAAGCGGGTCTCAGTGAGTGGAGGTGAAGTCATTAGAAATTGAGAAATGTGTTTTAGCAAACAGCATCTTGCATCATATAGTGTCTGTGTGAAGCACGAGTCACCTACGTTTGAAAAAAAAATCTGCTGTCAAGAAAATATATTAACTTCAGAGATCGATACCGAAATCCGGAAATCCTCAGTTATTGACAAGCTGTTGATAAGAGATATTGCACTGATATCACCAGAATATGCTTGCAGTTGGGAGATATTATAACAGAAGAATTGTTTTATCAATATGTCTACTGCTTCATAAGCTCTGGATTACTGCTAACTTGTACGACTGTAATAGGAATGTCAAATAAAAGGTAGAAAATAAGGAAAAAGATAACTAGATAAGGACGGGCTGGATTATGGCCGTTTAATTCAGCCCCATGTGGCAGGTCACATCTGGTCAAGGCGAGATAGAAACGTTACCAGCAACGAGGAAGGTGCACATCGGACCATCCTTTATAATCTCCAGGCCCATCTAGTAGGCTAGATTATCTTTTGGTTTATTGTATACATATGTGCGCACCTATCTTTCTACTGGCACAAATTCTCAGGGTCCTTTGTGTGTGACCAGAACATTTTTTACCTTCTACCAATGTTGATGTTTTAACGGTGTGTGTGTGTGTGTGTGTGTATGTATATATATATATATATATATATATATATATATATATATATATATATATATATATATATATATATATATATATATATATATATATATATATATATATATATAACTGTAACGTGATCATGTTAACCCGAGCCGAGGAAGTTTATACGTTTTAAATGAACATTCCTATATCATTACAATATTTCCTATTTCCTGTAATCACGGCAGTGGCATTGTGATGATTCGGTCATATCTATGTCACGTCCATGCGTCCCGTTCCATTGTGTCTTGTCAAGTCCGTTCGGAATTTCGTTTCAGCTCCATTACTTGCGATGTTCTTGGAAGACTGGATTTTCGCAATTTTGTGGCAAAACTTTAAGTTAGAGTCCCTTCTTGACTTGTAACTTTGCACTTAAATTCCCACGCAAGAACCTGTGAAGAACTTTAATGAATGAACCAAATTTGTTACAAGACTTATTATGCTAAAATGTCTTACCTCAAGTAAAATTCTCGCCGTCTTCATGCAAACATTTTGCGATACTATGAGTTCTTTTTCGACCGATACATTTTCAGTCCAATTTCCTCTCAAGAACCTTTGAAAGATTGAAACTACATTTGGTGCGAGTTTTTACATTAAGAAGTTCTGTGACGATTTTCATTTATATTTTTTCCTGGCAAATTTGTTTAAAGATGGTCAACCTAAACAAATCAACCGTGAAAAATATTCACGGACACGTCCTTAAGTACTTTATTGTGGCTTTGACTAGGTTTTCTGCGTCAACATTTGTACCAGTACAAGGCACAAAAGGAAAAGACGGAATATTTGCAAACTTTGCCCGAATTTGTTCAAATTGTAACAACATTCCAAACATAACGGCCAAAGCACGAGAACGTTATACAAATAGCTAGGCGTGATATGCCTTATCTGTGGGGAACAAACATGTATGTAAGTATCTGTGGGGAACAAACATGTATGTATGTATGTATGTATGTATGTATGTATGTATGTATGTATGTATGTCTGTATGTCTGTCTGTCTGTCTGTCTGTCTGTATGTATGTATGTATGTATGCCAAGACAATGCACTCAGTGCTTGCAAAAAAAAACAAAAGTCGAAAAAGAGACTAAAGAAAGAGAATAAAAGACAAGAATAATAAATCGGCAATTTTGTGAAAAGGAAACAGTAAAAGCAGCACTGGATATCAGCTAAAAACTTGACTCATTTCTGCCTCGTCAGACTGGTACTAACCAAGTCAGGAACTGGTACTAACCAAGTCAGGAACGCACAATGAAATGATTTCAAAATAAAAATTTGGAAGAAAAAAAATAAACTATTTGATTACGCATAATTTCTGTAGGTTGTGGGACCAATCAGGTGGCCTATGTGGTTCAAGGGTCCGCCTCGGATGCGGGAGATCGGTGTTCGAATTCCGGCTGAGTCATATCAAAGACTCAGCATTACGAGCGTAGTGTTAGCACTGAACAACCTAGAGTTAGGATAATGTGTATAAAGAACTAAATTTTTTAGGTCAATCATTTTTAGAATTAATTATGGTAGAACATACTTAGTTGCATATATAAACCATTAAAGATATTTATGGGGAAATGGCCGCCTTTTACAAGCCAATAAGTACAGATTGTTCCAGCAAGGTCGAAAGTTATTAGTTTTTAATTAAGGACTGAGTTTGTTTAAACTTACCAAACGGGGTTCAAGTTTGTTCTGCTTAGAACTGATTGCAGAAGACAGCACAGTCGTAGACATTTGCTGATTGAAATAACTCAGTTTTTAGGCCCAACAAGGCGGGAATTATTGTAAATCTTATTAGTCACGCTGGAAGGGGGCGTAGCTTAAAACTAAAACAGGTTCTACGAGAGAGAGAGAGAGAGAGAGAGAGAGAGAGAGAGAGAGAGAGAGAGAGAGAGAGAGAGAGAGAGAGAGAGAGAGAGAGAGAGAGAGAGAATTTTAAAAAGTAAACTTCTCATAAAATAATTGTTATTCAAGAGAGAGACATTTGTCTGAAAGATTCAACAGACACCAAAGCAGAAAAAACGAGATAATTACATAAATCTCATATACTTCTTATATGATATGATTTAATTGCTTGTAGGTACTTGTATTTTCATAAGTTTATATACGTCATTTATGCTATGACTTAATTGCTTGTAGAAGCATGTGTTTGCAGAAATTCGTTTATTGAGTCGTAGATTAATTTTCTTGATATGGTATACGTGTGTCTAGTTTGTTTATCTGAGCCCGCGCAACGATATTTCCTTTTACATATACGTTGGCTATTTGCTAAGTTATAGTCTTGAAAATTGTATGAATTGAGTACGTTGAATTCATACTTATTCTATATACGGAATTATGTATCCGATATAACTGTATTGAGTTCATTTAGCTGATAATATTGTATTTATAGTCAATGGATGAATTGATGATTGATGCTACGGAAGTATTCGGAACTATCCGAACGAATTTATTATCTATATGCTAGCCTTGAAGTAGAGGAGGAATTTCACTAATTTACATGTAACGAGACCGAGTGAAGGGCTAATGCCACATGTGGCGTAAATGGCCATTCGCAGATCATTAGTCTAGGACTAACCGTGTAGAACGTTTTAAAGTCCATAGCGTTAATTTCTGATCTCGACAGGTCAGTCTAATTATGTATTTTCTATAATGTGACGGAATATTTAGGTTGTTTGTTTATATTTTTAATAGGTGAGATAGTCTGAAAAGCCGTTACAACCCAAACAGTGTGGGAAGGAAAAGGACAGTGTGGAAAATAAGGCATATTGAATTGTTGGAACAAAAGATAGTGGAACAGAAGTCGTACAGAAACAACGGACCTGTGGGACGGGAATTAGCCAACAGGTTATACATTGATGTAAGGAAGTTATTCGATATATTCGGACTCGTAAATGATGATTTTGGATTCTATCTTAAACAGAATCGGCTAGTCTTATGTTGTTGATGATGTTATAGGGTTTAACGCCATTTTCAGCACAAAATCAAGATAGGCTATGCATGGCGGCCAATATTAATGGTGGAGGGAGAACCCTGGAAAACCCCGGGAAGAACCACCGACCCACGAGAAGCTACTGGCAGGCTTTCTCACTTACCCACGTTAGCTGAGTCTGGACTCGAAATCTCGCAGAGGTACGATGGCAGTGATCCGTAACAGTCAGCGTTTTAGACCACTTGGCAGTCTTATAATGTCATTGCATTTTCGAAATTCCTTGCCCCCGTGCTAGACATCCCAAAAAACTGCTACAGCACACACACACACACACACACACACGCACGCGCGCGCGCACGGAGGTTTTGGAG